TGATGAACGATTGAATTGTAAGCAGACGAGAAAAGACAAAGAAAGGGATGGTACGGCGAGGAACGAGGATTATGACGCTGAAAGGAGTGCAATAATTATCGATCGATCGAAAAACTCATTCTTGTTTTCTCCGAAAATTGTTTCGAAGCATTTGCGAATATTTCGTACCGATATAAAATTGCAATATTAGTGGAAAGAAAAATTTAACATTAAGACAATCTTACGCATTAGCAGAATGTATCTCCTCGCGTTTGTAACATCCAAGACACAAAACTCTTTGGCACTACTATAGCTAATTAAGACGCCATTAGATAGGCAGATGCGAAAGATTAAGACTCGCGAAAGAATAGGACGAGGAGGGGAGCGAAGAGGAAAGAAGCAGAGAAAGAACCGAAACGAAGGTGAAGAAACGTGCATTGGAACTGTCGGGTAAAGCCGCGGTGGGGAAGGGGGGGCAGAGGGGTAGGAAGGAGGCAGACGAAAGAAAATCACGCGTGGTTCGTCATAAGAGGAATTCCTTTGGCGATACTGGAACCTCTCTCTCTCTCTCTCTCCTACTCCCTCTGCGTCTTCTTCTTCCCTCCTACTCGCTCCGTCCATCTCTCCCCGTCTCCCCTGGCCCAGAGACCCCATGCTTTTTTACTGGTTTATGGGATTTTTTTCACGCGGACCGCCGAGTCGTACATCAGAGAGGGCTGACTGTGAATCTCCTCTTTTCTCTCTTCCTCCGATACGTTCGGAGCTCTCAAGCGCGTTCCGTCGAGAAAGCAGGAGAAAGAAAGAAAGAAAGAAAGAAAGAGAGAGAGAGAGAGAGAGAGAGAGAGAGAGAGAGAGAGAGAGAGAGAGAGAGAGAGAGAGAGAGAGAGAGGGGGGAAAGGGGAGAAACAATAAAAAAGAGCAAATGCCAGCCGCCATAAAAACAACTGAAAGTATTAAAAACTTTAGGCCTTTTACTGCCGTGCTGCCTCGGAGAAGCACAGTCGGATATGCGCGCGAGGAGTCAACGACAACGATGCACCAAGACGTTTCGCGGCAATGATACTCGTGCAATTAAAATTGTTAAACGTCCAAGTTTAACGTTAAACACGCGCGTATGAGTGAAATCATCACCGCCAAATTAAATCGATTGCTTTCTATCTTCCGTTTCGAACACGAGTTCATTTTCTTTTTTATGCTTTAATTAAAAGGCAAACTGTCAAACTGTATTTATATCAAGTGTAACGTATTTTAAAGTATGTTCAACGGTGATACCATCGTAATTAACACCATACGTGTATTTGCATCGCAGATAACAAAGCCACGTGCGAGTAAAATTGAATATATTACTCGCGCGAGTGTAAGCGTTATTAAAAGCACAGAAGATTATATCGTGCCCTGCGTTTTCATCGACATATCAAGCGTCACGTCTTCAAGTTTCGCTGCCATACCACGGCGTATGGTCTTAATTAGCATGGTATATATTTATATCAGATAAACGAGATAAAAATCTACGCGCAATTAAATGCTTAAAAATTTGACACTACTCGCGCGAGTATACTGAACAGCGATGACTGAAGACTTGGCACGTAATTAACAAAATTAGCATACGTAGTTACATCGAGGATGACGAACAATGAAAGACGTGCCGCGAAGGAAGTGCAGAAATGAATCGAGTTTGAGCAGAAATATTGTAAACAAAAGCAGATGAGAATCTAGCGCGGCGTGGCGAACCGTGGAAGAAAAAGAAGACAGGCCGAGGCAGGAGGACGGCCGACCCTCGTAAAATTATCGTACTTTAATAAAACGTGTCGTGCAAAACGCGAGGATAACGAGAAAATATAGGGTTCGAAAGACTCGTGAAATTTATAGAGCGATCGCCGCGCTGGCGCGCCGGAGGAGGAATCGCTTTTTGGAGTCGCGGCCGTTTGGTCGACTCTCCCGAGTTGGCCCGTTCTCGGCTATGCAGCCACAATAAGATCCCGAATAAATCAGCTGGATGTTCGTGTCTCGGGCGAACTCGGTAGCTCGGCGGATAAAGATTCCTCGCGCCGTGAAAGAGACCAGTGATTCCGCGGGGAACAATTTTCGCGTTGCGCAAAGTCGGACAAGTTTCAACACGGCAACAGGTGTCCCATGGAATATGCGTTATGGTCCAAGTTGAAAGTCCGTAAAGTGCCCAAGAAAATCGCATTCGATAGAGACACATAAATCTCTTGATAGTCAAAGGCATTTGGATCGATAACTTTACTTCCGATGTTAGAAAACAAATCGACTCATTTCTTTCGTAAGATTTCGCTTTTACACAATTTTCGGTTTTTCTGTTTAAACTCATTTTCATCCTAAATGAGCGTTTATTATTTTTTAAATAATTCTTTTCTCATTGTAAACTGTACTGGCCGATCCGTCTGGATAATCCGTGGATCATCAATGCACGTTAGCATCAACTACAGCACAGAAAACCATGCGTGGTACAATACGTTCGATTGGAATCGCAGTATATAAGCAATTTGCTGTGAAAAGCACAAGTTAAAACATAATTTCGATTGCCTTTAACATAATTTTTCAGACGAGACGAATGCGAACTCGGTCATTTTCTCGCGCGGATTGCGTCTTGTGTTGTACGCAAGCAGTCTGAGCCGAGTTCTTTTTCGGCTCCAAGCAAAATCTCTTAGTTCAAACAGCGGCTAATTCAGCAAATTAAGATAGCACGACAAGGAAAATGCGTGAGCGAGAGAAAGAGGAGGAAGCAACCGGAGCACCAGTTTAGTAGCAAGTGTTGTAAATTCTCGATTCTTTAATCTCGGTAAACCTCGAGCGTTCCTATCGTTCCCCGACCGTCCCCCGGAGACCTGACCCGCGGTCTAGCGAAAGATCGCGGTGCTCCTCGAGGGCGTCTTGCGCACACACACGTACGCACGTCCACATACACGGCGCGTCAGGGGAGAGCCTCCGAGCAGTAAATCTCGCGGACAAACAATCATAATTTTCGAAGAGCTAACAAAAAGCAAGAGACTCTTTAAAGGGAGCCGATGCCAGGCAACATGAAATGCGGCCGCCTCCGCTTCTCCAATTGTTTCGTGGTTTTCTTCCCCTTCCTCTCGAGTTCTCCCCGTTCGCGTTTCTTCCTTCAACTCGACCCTTTTCTTCCCTTCCTCTCTTTTCACCGTTCTTGTACCTTACAACGTATATCAACGTACACGATTCCTCGGTTGTCCTCTGTCCTCTCCTCTTTCTTCTCCTCCTCTTTTCTCCCTCCTTTCCGATTCCTATTCCGCCTTTCCTGATTTCTTCATTTCTTCCTTGTGGCATCCTCCTCCCTTCGTTACGTCTGCTACATCTTCTTAGTTCCTTTGTCTCGTTTTTATTCTCCTTCTCGATTATTCCATCGATCCACGCGATTCTCTCGTCGTTTCCCATTGCGTTTTCTCGCTCTTTAACACGTTGGTTTATGAATTTCTTACGGATTTTTTCTTAAAAATATTTATTTTTTGTATAATGCAGAAATTTATTCTTTTGTTCTTCAGCTGTGCCCTTTCATATTCTTTAAGTGTCAGAATGTTTAATAATTAGTCGGAATAATTATTAAATTTTTTTAAATTTTGCTACAAAGCATTTATAATGCCGTATAGCATAAGAGACATATGATATTGCATGTTTTATTAGCAGCCACGTAAAACAAGAGAATAATGTTAATCATACCATAAATAAGAGTATCGCGACAAGATACACTTTTATAATTTCATTGCGACAACCAGGTCGGAATATCCACGCGTTTATAGAAGCCGGTAAGGCCGTGATAAAAGTATACTGTATACAGAAAGGATGTAGAAAACGGCAATTTGCGTGAGAGAAAAAGCAAAAACGGGGGAAAGTAAGTGACATAATCTCGCTCGGGACAGGAACCTTCCTCGAGAGATCGAGGTCGAATTCCGGAAGGTCGACGTTCATCGAAATGATAATTTTCGCGTCGCGGCTATTGTCCGACGATTTATGTTTGACGCGTTAACGTAACGTACGATATTAGGGAAACGCTATCGAGGGAGAGAAAATCGTATCGCAATACAAAATACAATTGGAGGGAAACAGTATGAATATTTAGACAATTTGTCGTGCGGCAATAATTTCTACCCAATCGACTTGCATTCGAATGTAAAATTCGCGTTGTCATGGCCCCGTAAGTTTTCCAAGTGAATTTTTGTGCGGCAAACACCGTGAAATCGTCAGAAACAATTCCACGAGCTAATTTCGTTCCCTCGAGACGCGTCTGAGAGCATGGAAAGCTCGCGGAGCTCAATCGGGACAAGGAAGCTGCCAACTTCTTTACAGCTTGTCGTGCAGCAACCCATCACTGCTGCGCGGCATAATTTAAGTACATTGTCGCTAATGTTGTTTCGGCCAAGAAAAGTTTATGGGCGACGCTTATTGGCTATAAGCGATATAAATAAATAGTAGGAATGCGGAAAATAGCAACATTTGCGAAATGTTCACGCCAATAGAAACACAACTTTGTCCATTCGTTTCAACATAGACTAAGATGGTACAAATTAAGTTGACAACTACGGTTTATGTATAGACATCGATGTAGTTGTACCACAAACAAGTTGCTGGCTCGTTAAATCTTTACAATTTAATGTATATTTTGTAATACTCTTATGTGTTATTTAAAAAGAATACCTGTTATTTAAGAAAAGATTATTTGAAAAGATTATTTGAAAAGAAATCCGAAAGAATCTGAGAAAGATCAATTATCATATAAAAAACTAGAAGTTAATGTAAGAGATGACCAAAGTAATTGGTCATCCTCATTCTCGAAGAACAATTTAACATAGAAATGACAATGTGTTTCTATCGGAATACACATATCACATAAAATAGAAACTTTAATTCTTTTCCTCTATACAAAGTTATCTCCGAACTTGACACATCAGAATTTGCCGGCAGTTTTTCCACTCCTCGAATTAATGGTTTGTGCGGTAAGATATCGATTGATCGCTTGTAAAAGAACCGGAAGCAAACTTTACCTCTTGCTCTCTAGTTGGTATCTCCGATCCTGCCGCGAATCACTCCCGTCAACATCACCATAGTTCTGACGTGCGTTTCGTCGATGAGATTCGCGAACCAGTATCGCGATTACCCACACTAATTCACCCCCGACTATCGGCTCCAGTTCGCTCACTTGGAAAACGTGACAATTCAATGTCGCTCGCGCACCAAACTCGCGGAATCTCTGCGATCACTCACACCGAACGATCCAGATTCGAGTCTTCGAGATTATCACTGACCAATCCTTGTCACGAGGCTGTCTAAGACTTTTAAGGGGAGTCCTAATTCGCGAGGAATACGAAGCACGTGTCAGATTTCTTCCTCCTCGAAATCTCCCACCGAGATCACTTCCACCCTCATCGAACACTTCCCGTGCCACCTTGAACACCGTCACTTGAAATCCTCGGATTCTGGGGAGCATTCAAGAGATCATTCGGCATTCTCGATCGATTCCTCATGATCTTGTCAACCCGAACGATTACCAAGCCTTCCAACCAGCCACCATTGATTTTTGTCCTGGCGGCCGAATTTCATGGCGCACTATTCTCGATGTAATTTTTTCATCAAAGATTATCACAAAGTTGGATTAGAATGCCTATTTCGTCATGACAGGAGGATTGTTCTCTCGAGGGGTCGAAAGGTGACAGTTCTGTAGTAAACAGTTTTGCAATAACGGCACTGCGTAGACTTGAATGAAGGTCCCCTATTAAATATGCGCCAGAGTAGCGACAGGTAGGTAGTTTTCTGCGTGGTGTTATCGCGGTACTCGAAAACTGTCGTTCCGACGAATCCTCGTTGTTTCGAGACGATACGCGCGGGTTCTCCACCCGTGAAACTCGGTACCCGTGTGTCTTCGGTTCTCGAGGCTGTCTAAGCACCCGCGACGAAGAGGGAGGTATGCGCTCGCGCGCGCGCGCGCGCGCGCTCTCGCGCAGGGCTTGCTCAAGAGGGGGAAGAAGTGGGGGTGGTCTTCCGAACTCCGCGTCCGAAGAGGGCGGTTCGTTTCGCGTCTTCTTCAAGCTCGCGGAAATTGGAACGCCACGCGCTTCTACCACCGCCACCCTTGGCGGCAGACAAACAAGGGTCGCCACCCTCACAATGATAACAACTGTTTCGTCGCCTCCTGAATCTTAGGGTGGTTCTCCAGCGAGCCTAAGATATCAGACAGGAGAGTGCGCGTGGCTCGACTGGCGCGAGATGACTGAACCCCTCCAAAGGGTGAGAGACAGAGACGGCGGAGAGGGGAGGAACAGGGGGAGAGAGAGGGAACACGCTGCTCTCCCCCTGGCCCCTCTTTCACCGACAGAGAAAGACCGCGGACTTCGGTGGCCCCCACCAATCTAGCATCCATAGGTTGCCCCACCCCGTTGAGAGCAGTGACGCGTCGCATTCTCCCCGCCTTCGCCCGTCGTTCCACCGCCTCCCACCCCCGACGGTGTACGTCGCTGCCTCTTTCCCGTCGGCCCCCGACGTCGTCGCGGTACCACCACACGGCTACGATGACGATGACGGGGGCAAAGAGACGGAGTTCTGCCACCGCCGAGCGCAACTCCTTCCTCTTCTTCCGCTCTTTGGCCGCTGTCGCGCGCATTCGTCCACCGGCTGGCGAACCGCACGCACCTCTCTGTACGTTGCCGCTGAGATGCCCCTGCACGCGCGAGTGGGTGGGTGGTCTCGTGGGGGTAGGTTCGCGAAAAAATGTTTACCTTCTCACTAACTGGTTAGCAAAATTATCTCGGGATAGTGAATCAATTATTTCCATCGTCATAAGAGAATAATATATGGTATGGCGATGTGTGTCAATTTATGTCATTTCATTCTTAAACATTCCTTTAAATTAACTTTCAGTAACAAAAGAATTTTAGCTCGACGTTCTCCAATTTTCTTTCCGATAAAACGTGATCTTAAAACAAATATATCTCGACGATATCACTTTATCAATCTTGGCGCATGACAAAAGTTCTTTACGTTTCGCGCTGGACATTATGATTTCGTTTTATGACGGAAAACAGTGATACGAAGACAAAACTACGAACTCAATACACCATTACAATTCGCGAACAGCAAGGGACAATTTCGGAGTGCGTCAATTTTCCACCCTTGTGTAGAATCACCCCGGCGCAAGAAGATTTCGCCGACCAATGACGTCACTCGAGTGCCCTCAAAGGACACTCCCACTTTTTACCCCCGCAAAGGTTTTTACGATGCTGTCGATGCTTATCGCCGATGCGTTACGCAGGGGTGACGATTATTCGGGGTTTCTATGGACGTCGCTAATTGAGAGAAAACGAGGGTAGCTATGGCGTCGCAGAAATTGGATGCGATCAAAGAATTTCGAGGGAAAACAATTAGTTTTCTAAAACTCAAAGCCTGAATCTCGAAACTTTCAGGATAAGTCTCTTATCATAGGTATCTCACAGCAGCAATTCGCATTATCATGTTATGTAATATTATTGCTAAATGGTCCATGTTTTTCAGCATTGCATTACTCTGACCACTGATTCATTAAATAAAGAAATTTATGTCGCTTAACGAACCTTTTATGGAGATAGGGAGGAAGCATCAGAGGGGACGGTTTACCGTTTTTACAAGTTTTCTTCTTCATACTTGTTATCTTTCCCGTTACATTTCTGATACGTCGCGACATTAATATCCCTTCCAACTTTTAGATTGACGTTTCCGAGCTATTTACATCGTGCGGGTAGCTTGTAACGGGGATTAAGAATGATTAAAGCTGAAAAGAGTCATGAACGAAAATGGGCCTGATTCACGTGATTATACCAATCCGCCGTGTGAACGTTCTTCTGCCTTTTGATTTCTTAACGCGCTCATTTATCACAATTATCGCTCTGTTCGTATTTGTACTCCTATATTTCTCCTTTATGCTGGTGATCGTTACCAGTATTACGCGTCTCGCCGATTTATGGAAATTTCGCGCAGGTTACTCTCATTAGTAAAATAACCAGAGTCGAAATTTTGGCCCTCTGTATATGTTGAACCTTTAAATCTATTATATAGTAGAGGACCTAAGACAGTAAAAAAGGTCGAATTGAAAGTACAAAATTTACTCCTACTTTAAAACTGATAATGTCGGAAATTTCTACTTTTGCCAATTTAGCATTAAAGTAGGTCCTTTTAATTAGGAGCTAAAGTAAATTTTTAGAATTAAAGAGTCAAGGAAGAAATAAAAATATATAATCAACTAATAAGACTATTCTTCAAGTCGCTAGCAGTAATTAACAACTTTAGTATTTTCTTGACCATATCTTGCATTTTTAATAATACAGAAAATTTATTGCGAAAAATATTACCTCAGCCAGGGTTTGAACCTGGACTTGCCTTACACTCTAGGCGGGCGCCTCGCCAATTCGACCACTGAGGCATGTAAAAAATGTAAAAACATTACTAACTCTATTCTGTAATCCGTGGCTATTAAGAGGGTAGTTATTAATTCCTTAGATTATTAATAATTGTTATTAGTATATTGCTTGCATTTTTTATAAAAATAAATTCTAATTGTTAAAGATATTTATAAAAATTTACATTTTCAAGACTCGTATATTTAAGTGTTTATATATAAAACTATTTTTCTTAATTTTATACGCTCGATGGAGCATATCAAAATCTTGAAACAGGAAGACCGGTTAACCCCTTTCCCGCATTACGACACGACCCCATTTGGGTCCTGCAACAGCCAGTTGATGATCAGGTAGTCGATTTTTCGAAAAATAGAATGTGGGAAAAATGTCGCGGTGTCCCGTTAGGTCTCGAAAAAGGGTTGAAGTGAGGCCCTTTCAGAAATAGGTCAGAATGCTGACGCGCTCTCTCATTGCCTCTCTTTCCCCCTCGGAGTTTTCTTAAAGGGCCTTAATCCACCAATAAAATATCGTGTTTCTCCAGGTATCGAAAATGCGAGACCGCCTGATTTTGCGTAATGTGCCAATGATTTAACCCGTCAGGGCCTGCGCGCGGCTTCCGAAAGGGTTTCGATCTCCTGATGAAAAGGAGTTTTACCGTTTCGAGGATCGTGTGAGAAAACTATTAGCGTAAAGAAACCCCTAAATAACGGAAGACGGCGCCGACCGCCCAGGGATGAATGGAAAAGCTATTTTCAATTTCAGGTATAACCGGTGAAGCATCCGGCTCCATTTGCCTCGTATTACTATTCCAATAGAGAGAGAAGAAAAACAGATAAACATGTAGGAGTAACGATTATAGAGGGGCAAAAATATAAAAATTTTGCTCACACATATGTTAACAGTGGATGTATAGCGACCCAGTTTATCTTTGACATTTAGACATGTACAACAATTCTATTAACACAATTATCCTTTCTGTCTTGATACTTGATAATCGGTGGCGGAAGGATTTACGGAAACACGAAGAATCCGGCAGACAAACCAAAGTTGAATGCTCTCTCGGAGCACTCCCCAAAGTTTAAAAATACCGCTCAGTCTCAGCCCTTCCAGTGAAAATATGAATTTTTTATCTCTCCCTCACGGGCCATATGGTTGATGCGCGCCTCCCGAGGGTAGGAAAACAAAAAAGAGAGTCGGGCAGTAGGGAGCTGTGCGCGGTCAAAAAAACCGGAGAAACTCCATAAGACGAATATTTTTAGAGTCGAATTTCCAAGGTAGTTTCCGTGGTTCCGCGCGCGGGACAGGAAAGGGAAAAGGGTTGCCATTCGTCTTTTTTACCGTACTCTGCCGCATCCTTTCCGCGTTTACATTCTTCTCACCGTCTCCCCCTAACCCATCGCTTTTCATTTATAGGATTCCTAGATAAACCAGATGTCATCTTGACAAATCTTTCTCAACAGTGTGTTTTCTGTCATTTTTCTTATGTCGTGTCTAAAAAGAATCGAGATGAAACATCTAAAGATACAATGCGCTCTTTAACGAAGGAAGCTGGTGATTAGAATTAAAACCGAGATGTCGGAACGTTCATAGCGCTCATCTTTCCAGTGCAACGGACTTTTTCAGGTGGAACGGGGTAACGCACGTTAAAGGTGTGTTTAGGACGGGGCGTAAAACACCGTGTAAATCGGACGGGACGTCGCGACTGAGCGTCGCGAGCATGGCGGGTCTGGGATGCGTTTTGCGGTGGTGCGCGTGTCGTCGGCGTATCTACGAGCGTTGTACTCCGAGCAATGCATCGAGCAGCGGCGTTCGTACTCGTCCGACATGGAATGTGGTCCGGTTCTCCAGAGTGTGCGCGAGCGCGCGGGCGCGGGCGCACAGGCGGCGGAGAGCACTGCGCTATAGTTCCCGTTTTTTATCGCTTCGTAATGCATTAGCCATAATAGCCGCACGCACTTAATGGACTGTAGCCTCGTTACAGTGCGCCACGTCGTGGGTGGATACGCTGCTCGTCTTCGTGCCTCAGCCGCGCTCGCTCCGCGCTCCGCGTTGTCTCGCGCGCATTGTCAATCTCTCTCGCATTGAGATCGCCGGTGATTTTTGTCATTTCCAAGAAATTGCAGAAAGTCACGCGCGTTTGCTTTCATTGGGATTAGACACACGCGTTTGCGAAAATATGACCATTTGTTTCTCAACTAAATGAGTTGAATATCATGTAAATGATTTGGAAATTTGTAAATTCAGTTTCGTTCACATTGAGATATCCATACATTTAATATGTCTCTCGTATTTGGTGCATCGCGATCTTACATCCCGGCCTGCACATGCAATTTCGTCCGCTCTCGCAGTAAAACCATTACTCGCGTATTACCTTCCATCATTCGTCAAAGCAATCACGCTCGCTATTCTCCTTAAACAAATGGAGAAATCCGCATCGGCGGTCACGATCGCATCGATCAATAATCACGCCTGCGAAAATCGCATCCCACGGTAGCGTATTATTTACCGACTTCGTCTCGGACGAAGGAGCATAGAGAACCAAATAACTTTCTCTACGACGTCGGATATTGGCTCGATGTTACAACATACAAGTATCGTTTCGTAAACGGCGTCGGTGCTTAAATTAAAATATAATACCGCGCGAACAATGATTCGATATGCTATTCTCTCTCTCCCCTTAATTACCGCAGTTGTACTACTAATTAAAGCTCGAGATACCGAGTGCGCTCACTACATTATAATGTATGTACATTAATTTGAAGATTTAAAAAAATATGTTGCCAGACCATTTAAGAAGTAAACTACAAGTAGTGGAGGAGTAAGGCAAACTAGACAGGCA